GTTGAGAGAAATATTCGATCGAATTAAAATTGAAAATGAACGAAACAACACGTATTAACACGTATATAATTTATAATATAATTTCCAAAGGTGTTTAATTAATTAATTGTTGGAGATATAAGGCTGATAATTTTCAAGATCGGTTGAATGGAAGAATGGAAACGAAGATAGAAGTGTTTTTGCTCCGTGAGTATAGAGAAAATATCGTTACGTACGCATGCACGAGTTCGCGTTCGTGATTGAACCGAGTCGATTGAATGGTGCGCATTCTGCACTGTCTGCCATTCTGTCTGACGATTTTTGGCGATTTTTCGAACGTACGCCCGATACGCTTTCATCAAGATGAAAAGTCCCATGGACACTTGCTCTGTACTCTTGTTGTTCTGCTCTCCTTCTTCTTGTTGTATCGGCTACGTTTCACGCGATTGGAACACGGTTATTTCGAAAGACTGTTGAAAGAGTCGTGTTTTCGATGATTAAAACTCGTGGAATTAAAACTCGGTTGATCGATTCTCTTTCGTTATTTAAACTTGATAAAAATTAAAATTGTTATTTTTCCTTTTTACAGGTCGAAAAGGAGGGTGCGCAATACAAAGTTTCGACATTTTAAGGAGACTTGAGAATTTATGTATTGGATCCAAAGCGCGCGTTTTTTAAACCGCGTATAAATTAGGAATTAAGAGCAAGTGTCTAATCCTTCGAGAATTATTTCATCGAAGATATCTACTATCCTCAACAATTTGTCACGAACGATTAAAAGCGTAAGCAGGGTTGAAAACAGCCTGCATGCATCGTATATGGGTGTATTAAGATATCAGGTATATATATATATATATTATCCATATCTCATAGATTTTCTCATCGAAAAATTTCATACACACACACGTTTAATTGCCAATTTTTCTTTATCCTTGAAATTTTTACGTAACTCCGCGTGTAATATATTTCTAATAAAATATTATTATAATTACTTGCAAGAAATATTATAATATTTTAAAATAATAATTATATACGTTATTCCATTTCCATTTCTGAATAATTCGATAATTGTCAAATGAATATTGTAACAGTTAACGAGTTCGTCGAAAGAATAACGAATAACGTCGAAAGAATGTCTCGGCTGCAACGAGTGCTTCGAATCGTGGGAAGGTTCTGCATGGCGGAGCACGCGAAAATATAATTCACTAACGCGGCCATGATATCCGGCCAGAGACGATACTCTTTTCAAGAGTACTGTCTTCCACTTTTCACGATGGATCGAACGAAAATTCCCGCCGAAAATTCAAATCTCAGACCCGCGTAAAATAAAAAAACCATGTTAATTTTTACTCCGATTCTCGAAATTCATTTTCATTGCGTGATAGAATCGAAGATTTCGAATTTATCGTGGCGAAAATATAATTCACTAATTCATGATATCCGGCCAGAGACGATACTCTTTTCAAGAGTATTGTCACGTGGATCGAACGAAAATTCCCGCCGAAAATTCAAATCTCAGACCCGCGTAAAATAAAAAAACCATGTTAATTTTTATCCAGATTCTCGAAATTCATTTTCATTGTGATAGAATCGAAGATTTCAAATTTATCGTGGCGAAAATATAACTCACTAATTCATGATATCCGGCCAGAGACGATACTCTTTTCACGAATATTGTCACGTGGATCGAACGAAAATTCCCGCCGAAAATTCAAATCTCAGACCCGCGTAAAATAAAAAAACCATGTTAATTTTTATCCCGATTCTCGAAATTCATTTTCATTGCGTGAATCGACGATAGAGCCGAAGATTTCGAATTTATCGTGGGAAAAATTTGCGAAAATTTTTTTGCGACAACGATGGAGAGGGGGGAGGGGGGATTCGTACTCGCGAGGCTGAGATGGAAAAAAAAATAGGAATTAAAATGGTTGGGCAAGCGGTGTCGTTTATGGAGCTTCTATTTTGAAGAGAAAGACTTTGAAAATCAACGAGGCGTGCCACGGTTGTTTGACTGATTTGGCTCGGTCTAATAAATCTCGTCGCACGCTTTCGAGATTATGCACGATAGAGAGACCATTGGATAGCGATCGAAGCTGGATAAACACTCTGATGTTGAATTCTTGTTATTTAATTTGTTTTTTTTTCTTTTTTTTAGATAGATCCGTGTAATTTTCTCGATTGATCTCATTTTTATAATTGTTTTACGATTATAGATCGTTTAAAACAAAAATCGAACAATTATAAATTCGTAGGTTATTTTTGAATAATTTTTGAAGCTTTTAATAAATTATTGTTTTCTGCAATCGTGATTCGTGTTTCTTAAAATAATTATCGAATATTTATTTTATAATTCAATCGAGTCGAATTGTAAAAATTCCATTTCAATTCATATTTTTCCACAATAATTAACACGAGTTTTTATCCTTCTACGATTTGATCAAATTTAACCGAAGCTTCCCCGCAAACCACGCTTTCTCCAAACATTTATTATTCCACACCGTCTTAATCCACATCCTTCTTTCGAATTTTTACAATTCAATCAAGTCGGTTCGTAAATCGAAGCTTCTCCATAAACTATCCATAAACGCTCTCCCCAAATAAATTTCCACGCCATTTTAATTCGTATTTTCCAAATTAACTCGAATCGTGTGATTAAAAATTTTCCAATTTAATATAATAATAATAATAATAATAATCGTATATTTCAAGCAGAACGAGAACGAATTATTTAATCATTTGGATCCAACTGCTAAAGTATAATTTACGAGGTGTAACGTATGCGATGGCAAAAGTCGCGCGCACGCGTCAATTAGCATAACTCGGTAACCGAGTCAATTTTAGCAAACCGCCGTTTCCAATTTCATTTTCAGACGAGAAATTTGTTCCGGTGGACAAATTCGAGCGGCCGGCGAGTTCTTCTTCTTCTTCTTCTTCTTCTTCGTCAAACGAAGGGCCATTCGTGTATAAACGCAAACTTCAGACGAACGACACATTCAAGTTTCGAGCTAATTCATTAAGGACAATGAAATGATCGAATTTAGAATTTTTGATTTTAATATAGAATCGAAGTAAGAATTTATATACGTGGAAAGATGGATTTGTTCCTTTGAAAAATAAGATAAAAGTGGAATTATATATATATATATATATTTCAAGAATTTGAATATCAAGTGTTGTTCCCTTTGACGAGGCGTATAATTTAAAAAAAGAAAAAAAATCGATCGTCTTCTTTAGTAGTAAGTTTAATTATTTCCGAGTTGAAGGTGAAGAGCTGAAAGAGCTATTAGAATTCTCATTTAAATTTCTTACAGCGACAAGTCGATATGGAAAATTATGAAAACTTTAAATTAACCGCCATTTCTCGAAAATAATTGTTTCACTTCCTCGTATAAACCTATCGCGTCTGAAAAACTAGTTTCTTTGTTGTTTTTGGCCCTAGAAATTTATAAAAGATATATAATATTCTACGATTTACTATTTTCTAAATTTCAATCCAATCGTTTTCGATCATTCGCAATTTCTGTACACGTGTTTTTGCTTTATTTTTACTTTAGCACTTTAAAAATTTTATACGGTTCAATCTATTATTTCGAGTCCTTCGAGTCTTTTGTTATTTTTGCAAGCGTCGATTTTACGTTACTCGTTGGAAAGATACCAAAAAATGTGTAAACCATACCATAGAAAATTAATTAGGCAGGTTTGATGAGATTGTTACAGTGAAAGTATAAAATTTAATAATAAACAGCATATATGTTATTATTAAAATTCGAAATCAGTTGATACTCTATCTAGTTTGTCGAAAAGTATTGGTTACACAAACTAGTCAGAAACAATTTGGAATTGATTAGACTATACATTAATAACAAATTTCTTTCTGTGTAACAATATTCTTACAAAATTCATTAATATATTCTATATAATCTATTCGAAATATATTATAACCTAACCTCAAATTATTAAATCGAAAGAATTTCCTCCAATATAAAGTATCTAACAATATTTAATTTCAAATTGTTTTCAATTATATCAACAAATTTCAAATTTTGGCATAACATACGATCAACTATCTTTATACATTTATAAAATTAACCTTTTGTACTATAATTATCATTCTCAGTTTAGAATTCCAAAGAAAGAAAGCAAGTGCAAAGGCTTCGTGTAATCGATCAAAGTCTGTAAATTCGAATTTAAATTTCATATAACTATATTTATCAAATCAACTCCTTTATATTTTTAAATATTTTAATTATTTTTCTCAGTTTAAACTTTGTAATCGTCTGTAAATTCGAATTCAAAATTTCAAATTTTATAACAACAATTTATATATTTTTATAAAATTAACCCTTTATAATTATCTTCCTCAATTTATAATTGATCAACGTTTGTAAATTCGAATTCAAAATTTTGAGTTTTATAATAACAATTTATATATTTTTATAATAACAATTTATATATTTTTATAAAATTAATCCTTTATAATTATCTTCCTCAATTTATAATTGATCAACGTTCGTAAATTCGAATTCAAAATTTCGAGTTTTATAACAAAAATTTATATATTTTTACAAAATTAATCCTTTATAATTATCTTCCTCAGTTTAGACTTCACAGTCTAAGCAAAGATTTGTAATCGATCTGTAAATTCGAAATTCAAAATTTCGAATTTTATAACAACAATTTATATATTTTTATAAAATTAACCCTTTATAATTATCTTCCTCAGTTTAAACTTCACAATCTAAGCAAAGATTTGTAATCGATCTGCAAATTCGAATTCAAAATTTCGATTCGTATAATAACACGCTGTGACTGCATTTATTATCAAATTAACCCTTTGCGCCATACTTTGCCCTAGTCTAAAGATTTCTAGAGGGAAAAAGAAATACGGTGCAAAGGGTTTGAAAAAAAAAAAAAAAAAAAAGAAAAGAAAGCATCGCTTCGATCAAGAATTAAAATTTTTCCACAATATCCGGAGTGAGATTGAAAAAAAAGGATGTGCACGTGATGGCACGCTCTCTGACCTGCTGAAGATATCCTTGAGCTCGTGCTCGGACACGAATTGGCCGAGGTTGGCCACGAAGAGGGTGGAACAGGGCGCGTTGCTCACTGCTATGTTCGGTTGGGACGAGGGTGAACCAACCGGCGATGCCAGTGCCGGCGAGGGTAGGAAATGGGGTAGCGACGCGTGTATCGACGTCAGCGTCGTGGGATGCGGCAGAGACATGGGCGCCTGCAAAAAGAAAACAGAAACAACAATTTTTCATCGTTATCCCCTACCCTTCGCATCGATCCGTCGCATCGATTCTGTCACTTGGAGCTTATCACAACTTTCTTTGTTTTTCAGCTTTTGAAAGCCGTTTAATATATACGTGTATATATATATTCGTGAGGATTTTCTGTTGCGGCGAAGAAAAGAATTTTTCCTATATCTACGTTTCGTGTTTTCGTCAGACACACGCCATTTCGAATTTTGTTCGATTTCTGGTTTGAACATGTTTGAGAGAGAGAAAGAATAAATATTTTGTTGGATATGGACAATTTTTTATTATAGGAAAAAATCATTATTAATATTTATTAAATTGAAAGATTATAAATCATTTTCTTTAAACATCTCAGTTTACGTTTGATACGTGTTTGAATCTAAATCGAAGTTAGAACAATTCTAGAAATAATATATTCAATAACATATTCAATTTCAATTTAAAAATCGAATAGTTAAAAAAGTTACAAACCGCGTTACAAATTCACTGTTCGTTGCGACCAAGAAATAAGGTATACATAAATTTGAAATTTTCCCAATATTTGCCCAAATTAATATCCAATGCTAAGGTATAATTCAGATGTAATCGACGAGGCACAATGCAACTAGGAACTAGAGTCCATGACCGAGTTACGGAGCGTGGATTAATTAACGCAAGAACCGTGTTAAATACGAATACGCGGGGATAATTTGCAGCAACGTTACAAGAAGCGTCTACTAGGCTATTTATTTAATGATGGAACGATCTCGGCCGCGAAGCGGATCACTTTTTTTGCTCGTAAATGGGCGCGCGAGCCCATCACCACTTCGTTCCCCGTCACGAATTGTATCCCAAATATCTACGAATATTTCGTACAACACTTTTCTCGCCTTTCTTGTCGCGAACGAACAAATACAATTGGAAAATTATAATATGTATAATAATATAATAATATAAAGTATAAAAATATAAATAATATAAAAATATATATAATAATATAAAATAAATATTTAAATATTTATTCGCAAGGGAATAATTTTTTAAATTATTTAATCTCCCTTTTAATAATCGAAAATATTATACGAGAATAAAATGATGAGCAATACGAAGAAAAGAAAGAAATTTCTATTACTTGAAGGCAATACAAGCCCACATCGCGCAACCGCGATTAATTCGCAATTCCGCATCACGATATATCGGTGTTACAGTAATGCCCGTGTAATTACGTATTGCGCTACTTGCCTCGGATATCCTGTATTGCCGCACCGTTGCTGCGTTTTCTTTTGTCGTAGTCGTAGATTTTGCAAAATCGACGAGTCTCCTTCCTTTCGACGTTTGTCTTCGCGTTTTCTTTTTTTTTTTTTTTTTGCATCGAAAAGTATCGTGTCGCGTCACGTTTACCTTCGCGACACAGTCTTCAACGGTTTCGAAGTAATATTTTTCCATTCGTAAAAATCGAATATTACATTTATTGTAACTTTATTGTTCGATAATAAAGAATTTGTTTCGTATAGAAATGTTTTACTTACTTTTCATCGAGAAAATGATTTTTTTTTTTTTTTT